GAGATACATAAGCCTCGTTCAATTTTAATCACTAATGGCATGTTCTCATTGACTAAACTGAGCTGAACTGAATTGAACTGAGCTGAACTGAATTGAACTGAGTTGAACTGAAATGAATATTTTATAAGAGAAGGAAATTAGGAGCTTAACTGAACTGAGCTGAGTTGAACTGAATTGAATATTTTATAAGAAAAGAAAATTAGGAGTTTAACTGAACTAAACTGAGCTGAACTGAATTAAATTTCAACGTATGCCGTAAGTCAAGATCGAAATCGATCACTAATTCAGCAAGAGGGTGTGAATGTGATGCATGGGTGTAATATTACCAAGATGTTGAGTTAATAAAAATAGAGTGAGGTTACCTTTAATCCCAAATTGAAGCCAAAATAAGGAAAAAAGTGGGGCCCAAAAGGGAAACCTTTAGATACAAGGGTGTCAACTTTGGTACGCCTTTTGTCCATCATACCGTCCACCACGTGAACAAATAGGGCCCACTTTCCTCCTTTTTTTTTTCTCATCTTCGCGAAAATGCTTCTACTGTGATTGTGTACTCAATAATGCTTAGCTTACTCCCTCAATTGCCTCAATACACCGGAGATAGGCCGTGTCCGTGTCCACATTGTATTCATTACTCCTATTGTGGTTTATACTTTTACATCATGTGCGTTTGAATTACATGAAATTATTTACAAATTAAATATACGTATATCTTAACAAACTTTTGTTAAAAGTACGTGCTATATCATACCTTGTCATCCATTCTTACATTATCTACTTATGTATCATACAATACATTCAAGGCTACTCCATCCGTTTTTCAATACTTGCTCCATTTCTCTTGGACATGCATGCCGATGCTAATCTTTGATCACTTGTATTTTTAATTACCAATAAGTATAAATTCTAACAATTGAAAATTAATAATCTATTCATTGAAATGATTCCAACAACTACCCACAAAACTATATTTTTTCTTATGTATAAATCACAAACAGTAGTCAAAGTAGGACAAATGAATAGTGCAAAAAATAGAAATGAAGCAAGTATTTAAAAACGGAGAGAGTATTAAACTAGCCTAAAGTTTATGAACGATTGATTGTCATGTATGCTTTATTATATAAGGAAAATAAGAATAGAAACTTAACTATACTCTTTACTAACTTATATACTAAAGTCAATAGTACTATATAATTTAGTTGGTTATATGTGCGTTTGTGGGCATATATTTATACAAACATCCTACACATTTATGTTGTGAAAAAAAAGGTTGAAAGCAACAATATATGAACACCTTGGTTGGGAAGTGAAAAACGATAAAAGTGGGTGAATCGTGCATAAATAACAAATTCAATATTACAAAATTAAATGGAGATCGATCTAAGCCATATTTCAGAATTGAGATAGATGATCAGCCAACTTGGAAGCGCTATTGTTGGTGACTTGTCTATTCATGTGCCTTAACTCTCTCAAGCCCTTACCTTTGTTCCCCTCTTCTTATCCTCCAACTATTAGATCCACTTTGCTTTATTATTCCATTAGTATAATTCCACTATATTTTAAATTTATCATAAACGTTTTAAGGAAATTTTTTGTATACAAGTATCTAATTGAAATACTCGTACTAGTGTGTGACTTGAATAATATAATGACTTGATAGTTGTTTATCATACAGTCTTATTAGATTTCAAAATGTGAACTATAAAACGAAAAGTTGCTAACTATGAGTATACATGAACTAATCACGATTTCTTTTTTTTTTTGTGTGCTGCAATGAGTTCAATTTATAAGGAGTGTCACGTGAAACGTAAACTTTCTTATAAAGACTGTATTAAATAAGTGCTAAAAAATATATAAAAATAAGAATAGTACTATCATTAATCACCTTTTTAGCAAATCCAATATGATTAGGCAAGGTGGACCAGATGTCACTTGATTATAAAACAGTATTCCTACACAAAATTGGAATCAATTTATATAAATAATCAATTATTAATAATAAGTGTACTGTGGTGTTGAGAAAGTAAATAGTATCTTCCTTAAAAAGAAGTTTGGATTCATTTGGGCTAATCAAAGAGACATAAAGGACTGTAAACAGGTGGATAAAATGCATATGCCCACGAATAATAATTAACAGCAAATAGATACACTATTAGACTATATTCTGATCATATGGAACTCTGTACCTTCCATATTGTCACATAACTTCTTATATAGCATCATTGTTTCTCTTAGATTTTTTTTTTCTAAAAAAACTTGTTTCTCTTAGATTTAGTATTGCTATCATGCTATGTCATCAATCTATGATATTTGCATTACTCCGTATTACATTAGTCATTTAAAAAAAAAAAAAAAAAAAAAAAAAGGACGAAGTAATAAGAGAAGAACAAATAGAGACGGAAGGATTGCAATTTTACAATCGACATAGAGGAATTTAAACCTTAGGAGCATCTTCATTGAGGCTCATAGAAACTGTACTCGAAGTCTCAAACCCCAATATTTATATTTTGACCCCCTAATTTTTTAGTTTGAGACCGCCACTATATTAATGAAGACATTGATATTCCAAGTATTTGATCAATTGTTGTACCATGAACGACACTTTATCATGAGTGGGGTGTTGATGAGTCATGAGCAACTTAATGCTCAACATCGTTAAATTTGGTGCATAAGTGGCAATTGCTCTAAATGTAGTATAATGTCGATATCTAATTGCTCTTGGTATATTGTCTTATCACTTTTTTGTATTAGGTCCACATGCATGCTCTTGTCAACAAGGGAATCCGGGTACAATCCTTATGTAGTAATAGCAAACAACTTAGTAATGCCCTTGTGCTGTATATTAGCCTGTTTATTCAATTTTGTTATACTCTTATGGATGTCAACTAACTTATTTGATCCAAGTTTTCGGGGTATTATCTAAGATTTCAAAGTTAAAGGACAAGTTTTTACTAGGGGCACATTATTTTAGATATGAGATTCTCTTACCTTCTCCAAATCCCATGATTTATCTAGATTGTTTTCATCTAAAACTAGGAAGACCTACCAAAGGCACACACTTGGACCTCACAAATAATAGTTCCGACTAATAGGCTTGAATGCTTGATGCTCGAAGAATCGAAGCCATGAAATTAAGAAAAACTTAAATGGTGTTTGAATTGCTAATGTAAATCTATAGGTTGTGCACAATAACAGAGATACAAACTTAAATGAACATTTTTTTCTTTTTTGAAGCAACTTAAATGAACATTTATATGCATGATACTTGTATTTCTCAATTACACACTGCTTCTAAACTCGAGACTTGTAAAATGTGAACATGAAATTTTTATTCAAAACTGACCCACTAATATAAATTTCAAGACTACGGCCCAATATAGATTGTTGCTCGATCTGTTTTTAAAGTGGGCCTAGTTGAACTAATCTTGGATTGTAGAATTGGTTTTGGATCCAATCTGAATATATTGGGCTTTTATGTTCTTGGACTGAGGCTGGATTGAATATTAAACATATAGTCTGGTTTATTAGCCGACTTTACCAAACCATACCCATAGCCAATTAGCCATTATTAGTATCGTAATCACATAGGAGTATTGGTATACGACCATTTTATCCCCCCTCTCCTTTATTCTTGGAGTAAAATGAAATTAAAACATTAATTATATCGATCAACGTTTGGTTTATATTGTCCTGTATTTCTAGATTAGCGCTTTTGTAGGTTAGCATGATAGATTTCTTCAACTCCTCGTCTCCTCCCCAACTACACCAAAATATCTTTTCATATTTAAAACAGAACACTAATTCCAACTGCATACTCCGAACTCTGTAGTAGACAACTTTAATTGCTCTATATGTTGATTTTATAATTACTTCATTTTTACATTTTCGCCGGTAGGTCAATTTTCAGCATTCATTCCAATATTTAATCGATGCTTCATAACACAAATGTTCAAAATCGTTAGTAGGTCTATTTTCAATATGGAATATGGACTTGCAAGCATGTAACTATTATTGTTGGAAATAGTAAGAGACCGTGGGTCATGCAACTCAATTGATTAATTGAAGGACTATTAAACTTTCCCAAGTGTTATACTGCAGAATGTAGATAATATGAAATATGGATTAGCAATTTAGGTTGGAACAAAAAAAAGTACCAAAATTTATGGCAATAGACACATTTATTCTTCTTCACATTTATTCTTCTTCATTAAACTAACAGAGAACAAGAACTTGAAAATTGAAATAAATTTCATTTCAAAGTCTTTGGGGAGATTTTCGGTAATTTATAGGGAGACATGAAATGTCGTTATCAATCTTAATTTTTAAGTCAACGCTATAGTATTAAAGGTACATTAACCGTAATTAACATAAAATCGTACTCTACATGGCTTGCATGTAAACATTATTCTCTACTAATTTAGTAGTTAACTATATTATTCATTTTCTGAATTATCTATTACAGAGTATAATTAGTAAATTAGTATCACGAATTCACGACTTATCTATGTCGAATTGTCAAAGGCACAATTAAATGAACCCAAAACAAGGGTGCGTAACAAAAAGGGCGAGCATACATGATACACCTTTCTAAAGGATATTTTTCAATCACTAGTAAAACTCAGCACACGTAGACTAACAACTTTTCTAACTAGATTCTTTATAACAAGAAAAAAACCATTCTTTCATATCCACACACACACACAAAAAAAAAAAAAAAAAAAAAAAAAAAAAAAAAAAAAAATAATACACTTAACGAAAAACTCATAATTCTGGCAGTGCGCCGCAAAAACCCTCATCATTTGTTAGAATTACAAGTGATAATTGACTAATTGTGCTACTACGCCGCAATAATCATAATTTTGTTGTTGACCCATTAACCATGTCAAAATGACATAGTCTATCTATCTCAATCAATGAAATACTCCAACACAAAATGTTTACTAAACTTGATCATATATATTCATAATATGAGTCTACGACGATGATTGATAAGTTCACACAAATACAAAGCAACACTTATCACGTCTATTAGACTATTAGTATATTCGAGAACAATTAAAAATTCAAAATTAATATTTATCAACAAACTTTAGCTCACTCAAAACACGAAGGAGAAAATTTACTCTTTCAATCTCCAATTCTCCACAATAAAGCCAATTTTATCTCAAAAGCTTTAATAAAAGGAGAAACTTCTTTTTTTTATACTCCACTTTTTTTTTTCTTGATTCTTCAACCTCACTTTTTATCCATCTCACTAACTAAAAATTACTACTACTAATTACTCCTTAATCACCTAATTAATATGGAATTAGTAAGCAAAAACCCATTTAATCTTGTACTAAATTCTAAGCATAAACAGAACCATAAGAAAGAGCCATTAAAAGAACAGCAGCTTGTTCTTCTTCACCCAACTTCTTCCTTCCTCTCTGTTGCTTCTTATCAACCGTTGATCTTTGCATCATCACCTCCCTTCCGAGCGCTATCAGCCGTTGATGAAGAGGGGTCCCACCAAATCTACTAGATGATGATGACGACGATGATGATGATGTCATGCTACTGCCATTGTTGATCTTCCTTGATTTCTTCTCTTCTGATTTAAATCCCAAAATTGCCCTTCTCTTCTTCCTGCTTCTGATTCCACATGCATTGCAGAGTGACTGCAGATCAAATCACAACCGTTCAAAATCAGTATCATCAGATGATCAGAACGAATCCAACGGCTATTTTTAGGAGAGAGAAAATTGATGATTATCAAAATAAAACAAAGGTATACCTTGGGCCCCGCAGGTCCGCCTCTCCATAGTGGGGTTTTAGAGGTACCACAATCTGCACATCGTTTGATCTCATTCTCTTTGATTTCTGTTGAGGAAACTCCATCTGGGTCTGATGATTTCTGCACCGTTTGATCAAAATTTATCAGTAAGACCATCACACCAGATCATTTCTATTTTTCGATTCAAATGATCCAAAAAAAAAAACAGAGGGTTTAAGGAAAAAACAAACAGGGGAAATGATCAACTTACTTTGTCATTTAGATCCACCATGATTACTGAACTACTTCAAAAATCCAAAGCAAACCCAGAAAAATTAAACACTCGAGGAATAATGGGTCGAGCTCGGATTAATCGAATGTTGAGTGATGAACACAAAAATCATAAACCCTAATCAACTTATAGAAAACAGAGTAGAAAAAATGATAAATGATCAACTGATCAAAACGAAGAGAAAACTCAAAAGGTAAAATGTGATCAAAGAACACTCAAAAAAAATTGGAGGAGAGAGAAAATGAAAGAGATAGAGCGGGAAGATTTGAGGAGAGAGAAAATAAGAAATAGGGGGGAAATTTTAGGGTAAAGATTAAACCGACAAGCAAAATATAGGAGGAATGGAGGAGAGAGAAAAGACCGACAGAGGAGAGTTATCCGCAGCCGAATGAAGCAGAGGATATAAGAAGAAAAAAATAAATAAAGATGGAATTTTTTTTTTTTTGAAAAATAAAAATAAAAATTTAGGGTGTGTTTGGCTGCTGCTGCTATAGTTTGGGCAATTTATGGAGTGATCAAGAAACCCTAGGTTTTTATTTTGTTGGTTTTCTCTCTCCTCCTAAATTGGGGTGTTTTGAAATGACATATTTGCCCTTGGTCTGAATATATTCTATTGTAAAGTTTTATAATAGTCCTCCCGCCAAACATTTGAAATGTGCAAAATTTTGACTTTGTTTTTTGGTTTTGATGGTTTGGTGTTTTTGGCTCCATTTTCAAAAGTTTTTGGTTGTTTGATTTTGTGTTTCACATTATTGGGTTTTTATTTTACTCCGTATTTTATTAGAGATTAAGTTTAATTGATCTTAATATGAAGTATTTATTCTAGCTCAGTATTGAACTAGATCGAAATTGATAAACATGATTCTTCCGCTTTGAGATACTTCGTGTAATGAAAAAGGTGTCAACTATTTAGATCTAATGTCCAATACTGGTAGAATTATGTTTCGACATTGTCTTACTTGCCTATTTTTAAAATGTTCTAAACAAATGTTGCTAGGTGATTGAGTCCCAAGTAACCTGAACGATTTAACGGAGAAACTTATTTAAATTTTGGTCGTTGACAAACGTGCACATTCAAAATAAAACTCCCAAAACTAAGGAAAAATACATTTTAATAATTCCAATTATGAGCGATTTATTTCTAATAATTTCAACTAAATATTATTATCTAATAATCTCAACTATGCTATGCATTTGCCTCCAACATAGGAGTTGAGGTACAACTCCAATAAGTTACTTTTTCAAGTCAACATTAGTCTCCATTTGAAAGGAAAATTCAAGATGTCAACTGTTTTTATTATATTAAAAAAATGATAAACTTGGTTCTTAAAATAGTCAAAGTTATAAGCCTTATGGTTATTTTGGTTGAGCATTGGGACTTAGAATATTATATGAAATGCTCAAAATTGTACTAATGTGCGTAATGGATGTTAGCTGATTTAGGATCTGTTCACATTTATTTAATTTCAGTTCAATTTAGCTCTAATCAGTTCAGTTCAGTTCAATTCAACTCAGTTCAATAAATGTGAACATGCCCTTAGTTATACCTAAAAATGATGTAATGTTAGAGAATATCCTAGAAAAAAGAGTCGTAATAAAGGTTTGAATGACAAAATAAGTTAAGTCATTAAGAAGCCAAAGATCTTACCATTTAAATCAAATTATCTTCTCAACCTGTATGCACTTGCATGTATATATATTTTCCTCGTTGAAGTGTCGCTAAAAAAAAATACAACTATTATTTTTATTATGACATTTTATATTTTAAAAATAATTCTTGTCTAGAAAAAGTTTACATAAAGACAAATCTTTCCATTTTAAAAATTATGAAGATATATTTTTAATCACAATTTAAATACTTCATTGATCTATAAAAGAAATCAAGTAAGACTCTGATTGGTTCATTTTATTTTGTCCAAAATAATTTTATACGAATGTATTTTATTTTATCTATAAATTTCTACTCCTCTCTATAACCATTTGAAATAAAGAAAAAGGAATATCCGACTTGTATAGTTATATACAGTATAAAATTGTTTAAATTTTCAGGTTTAATGGGCAGTGGATTTTTTATAATAAATGCTTCGACCTCACTGACATAGCCAGCTCATCTACAATTGGAAAAATCACCATAAAGCATGGAGTTTGTTGTTTGACCACACACCTACAAAAAATGTTTTCTTTCTTTTTTTTTTTTTTTTTTTTGTAACTTAATAATTTTAGGCTTGTATTGAAAAATTAATAGAGTAAAATAGAGAAGGTACCAAGCCCGCCAAATATTTAATATGGGCGCGCACCAAATCACCTCATCTTAACAAATGGAGGGAATCTCTCAAATTTTAGGCGCCAAAATTTCTCACTCCTACTTTCTTTAATTAAATTAGTACATTAGTGTCTATCATTGTCATTTTCCTTGCTTTTAATGTTGTTATGTTTCCCTCCACTTTGCCTCTTGCAGTCTTGCTACAATTGGTAATTACACATTATGATTAGCAAGATACTTGCTAAACTCAATATTAGCCATCATCAAGGGTTGAAATTGATCAAATATCAACCCAATTTGATACCCGTATAATTGAATATTGATAAAATATCAACCCAATTTGATACCCCGTATTTTAGTGTTTAGAGAGCCACAAGGGCAGGGGTGAGAATCGATCCCATGATCTCCTAAAATCGGGAAGGAAGCTCTAACCACTTGAGCTATCCTTCACTCTCAATTTGATACCCCGTATAATCATATATTAATTGTATATTGGCAATTTGGAAGGTATTACTACCTTAATTACACAAATTAAATTTGAATTTCTATACAAATTTTTTTTTTTATTGATATCAATTTATAGTCAAGGCTAAAATTCTATAAATAGATTAAGTCGAATATGATCTATCTAGTTTGGTCTAGTCTAGTTGGCTGTTTATAGTTAATATTAATCACTACGTACACACACTCATCGATAATTGACGTATGTAGTTAATTAAATGATTTTATTTTTAAAATTATTTTATAATATATTGATGAATTTTGAATGATCGGTAAGGAATTAGATTAAAAATTTAGAATTACACATCAAATAAAAAAAATTCAAAATAGATAACTAGTACAATTCACTAATAGTATACTTCCTCTGTTTCATAATTAGAAGTCTATTTTAGTATTTTTCTTTATTATGTGAGTAACACATGTTAGAAATAGGCTTCTAATTATGAAACGGAGGGAGTATATAAGAACCAAAAAGAAAAAGCGCCTGATGAATTTAATATTCTAAAGGCTAATGAAAGACAAATGTAAACTATCTAGGTCAAGATAATAGTGTAAATACAATGAAAACAAAAATTAGTGCCTAATAAATAGTTAACAAATATATATATTTTTATCATGGATCAATGAATAACAAGGATAATCGGATGGCAATAAACTTAAACAAGTAGCTCAACTCTAAACCACTCCTAGAAGATGAGGTGTGTGAGATTGAGCCCTATCTATCCCTTGATTACCTTTTAATCTATAACAAACAATCACATAGATTATATCATAGAATGGTCGAGACTCCAGTAATTATCATCAAACAAGACAATATAACAATAAACTTTTTGTTCTCATTTTTCCTAATACATACAAATGTAATTGGCCTCCCTCAAATAATACCTATATTTAATGAGAAATATCATGGTTGTATTTTTATATTGGGCCCGTTTGTTATCATTGTTATAAACTTATAATTAGTTTCCAAATTACCTTTTATGACAAAAAATACAAATAATATGAGAAAACCTGTTTTCAAGATAAACATGTTTAGGAGTTTATTACTTTAGTAGTGTTATAACAACGTATGTAATGAAGCGATTTGGGAATTTACCCTTAAACACAATATAAATAAGACAATAACCTTCTTGATGATTTTCCTCCTCCTCAATAAACCATATTATTTTTTTTGTCTAATTTCGACAGTGATAACAAATAAGCCTTCACAAGTTTGCTTATACAATTATACATGATATTTATTTTCTAATCAAACATCATGATTATTAGTTAAAAGAACAAAAGTTGTTATATATACTCGTACGGAGTAATTTTGTAGAGAAAACTCGCACACTTGCTGCCTTTAGAAAATAAGATTGATCATCTTCTAACATTCATCTTGAGAAGGTGAAGTGCATTAGACAAAAGTTAAATTTGATCTAATCTTTGTAACATTTTGGTGAGATTCGAACTAGGATCACAACTCACAAAGGCGATTATATATAGGATCAAAATAATCTACAAATAAATATTGCAATGACAAAGGTATTAAAAGAAGGATGTTTACATGTAGTGATGATAATGAAATTAAAGCTCACAAGACCTGCCCTCATAAGTCATAACCAAATAATTGTCACAAAAAAATTAAAGCCACTGAGAATGGACCTCAAATTGTCCCTACATTTTATTATTAATTTATAATTATTATTAGGGTAATTTTATATATAGCCCTAAGAGTTATATAAAAGCATTAAATATACACGCGTAAATCAGTGTTATTAGTGTTTATATTTTGATGATTTTTTTTAACTTTTTATTATTTTCAAGTGTAAATTTAATGCTTATATGTAGCCCAGGGCTATGTATAACATTTTCCTTATTATTATCCTGTACTCAATGTTCATTACTCCCTAATATTCTTTATTATACTTTTTTTAGGTAAAACAGAATCCAGAAAATGCTAGAAAATGTGAAATATTCAAAATCCATAAAAAGTATTTTTTTAATTTTAACGGCAGTTCATGTACTCTTTGGTTAATCATTAGATTATGATTTTTATCTTCCAAAGTAGTACGGTTTCATTAAAAAATGTTTAACTAAAATTGGTTTCTACAACAAAAATGAAGGATAGAAAATATCTGAAGAAGGCAACAATCAAACAAGGCATAAGAATGGTAAAGGGTTAAAGGTGGAGACAGAGACAAAGAAAGCTGTACTCTTCCTCGATTGCATGAAATCATGCCATTAATACTTTTAATTAATGGTTTGTTCACTAATAACGATTATGTAGTTTATTCATTTTCTAATGTATCTTCAAAGTCCATGTCATCGTATAATTGACTCGAGCAAACTGTACTTTTCAAAAGTTGGACCAATTTTTAAAATACTTTATACACAAATAGAGCTGTCAATTCGGGGAAACGTGTCAGGTTTGAGTCGATAAGAGTGGGTCGCGCCAATTCGGGTCAGGTCAATTCATATTAATTTCATAACCTATGCGGGTCGGGTTTGAATTGGTTCATGCTTGAATCGGGTCACGTCGGGTCATACTTCTTATCGGGTTTGGATCAGGTTTAGGTCAGGTTAATAACAGGTCGGGTTACTGGTTACATTCGGGTCGGGTTCGATTCAAGTAGGGATGGCAATCTAGTCCGGATCCGACCCTATTACGCCCCGATCCGAGTTAAAATATCCGCTCCGAGTCCGAGAAAAAAGTAATCCGAATTCGACTCCGTTAAAATAATCCGACTCCGAGTCG